GTGTTACTATCAGCATGATGTAAGGGACAACTGAGGGCTTCTCAGTAACAAGGAGACAGGGAGAAAGGGTGTGCCAGGGTTTGGCGTCCATCCCTGGGGGTTGTTCTTGTCCTTTATATCCCTGTTCGCTATGTCCTTCCATTCATTCCGGAAGGCCAGGTGTCCGTTCTGAGGTGCTGCCGTCAGAGCCAGGTGTTTTTGTTTTGTTTTGTTTTGTTTGTTTTTTGGTAACGGGGATCAAACTCGGGTCCTTGCCCTTGTAGGGGAGGCATCGGAACCACTGAGCTAAATCCCCAGGCCAGTTGTTAAATATTTCATGTACACCTCTCTCAGGTGGTAATGAGAGGCTGACTGCTAAGAAGAGGCAGCGATCCAGATCTTTTAATAAAAGCAGGTGATTTTTTAAAATGTTAGTAACATTTTTTTTGCGGGGGGGGGGGGCGTACCAGGGGATTGAACTTGGGTCCTTACACTTGCGAGGCAGGCGGTGGAACCACTGAGCTAAATCCCCAGCCCTAGTAACATATTTTTTTTAAAGATTCAAACACCATGGTGGCCAAACAAAATATAGCTATAGGCCAGATTTAACCCTGGACCCCGATTCTGTGACCTGTACCCTAACAAACATATTAGATGAAATACGTTTAGACAGGAGAGCCTTGCCAATTTTTCCAAAAGGAAGATGGGCTCTAGAATGCAGTGTGTCACTTTTCGAATGTTGCTACTCTCCAAATGGCCAATTCTTAACATTTGGGAACAGATCTTTCTTTGTTGTGGGGGTCGTCACATAAGGTGTCTAACAACACCCCTGGCCTCTGACCTGTTAAATGACAGTGACACACTGCACCCAGTTTGACACCCCAGAGTGTCTTTAGACATTGCCAGTTTCTCCTGGGAGGCAAAAGCTAAAGTTCCAGATATCAAGCCATGTATAGTAATTTCTCATTTCTTAATAAAAATACAACCAATGACAACAGTATCAAGAAAAATCTGCCTCCTAATGTCTCAGTCAACACCCAAATCATCCGTATCATTTGTTCTGTGATCACAGACAGATGGCTGGTGATCTCTGAGCCTCAGTTTCATTTTCCATAAGAGGGGTGGTAGCAGGGCGCGGTGGCACACACCTGTAGTCCCAGCACCCAGCACGCAGGAGGCTGAGGCAGGAAGATTGCCCTGAGTTCAAGTCCAACCTGGGCTACATAGTGAGTTCAAGGCCAGCCTGAACCACATAGCAAGGCCTAGTCTCAAAAAAAAAAAAAAAGGATGGATAAGAAAAAAAAATCTGAGACATCCTAAATGTAATTACAAGGGCTGGAGGCTGGAGGGAAGGTGAGATGGAGGAGGTTAATCAGTTACAGCTGCGGGCCAGACAGACAATGTGCGGTTCCCATTCCTGGATTTATATTAAAACCTTCACTCAAATCCCTCTCGGCCCCTCCCCAGGTATCCCATCCTGTGCCCACCCCCAGCCGATCTGGAGCAGTGCTCCTCTTCCTCCTCCCTCCCTTCCTTAGGCTTCCCAGCTTCACATTCTCCCGCCTTTACTAGCTAGAGCCAGTCGGTTCAAGGAAAAAAAATTTTATGCTCTCCTTCCCAAAATTCTCTTTATAAAAATGTTCTTAGCTCTAGATCCAGTGAACATTTTCCAACCACTCTCTAGACCTGGTCCAGGACTCAGTAAACCCTGTATTTCAGAGACCCCTGGTCTAGAGCCAGGCTGGTGGCGCACACTTGTAATCCCAGTGCTGGGGAGGCTGAGGCAGGATGATCTCCAGGAGTTCAAGGCCAGTCTGGGCTACATAGTCAGTGGAAGGCCACCCTGAAACACTAGCAAGACCCTGTTTCAAAAAAGCAAAACAGGCCCGGGGATTGAGCTCAGCGGCACCTCCCCTGCCTGGCAAGGCCAAGGTCCTGAGTTTGATCCCGGTACCAAAAACAACAACAGTAACAAAGAGATCTCCGGTCTCAAGAGGAATCTGCTAAGCCCTGTCAGCCGGGCCTGTTTGTTGGGCTGCAGAAGGGTGACCCAGAGTACGTATGCAGAAGTGCCAAGCATCTATTTGGCCAGTGGTGGGGTCAAGCAGGTGGATTTCCTATCTCATTCTCCTTGATTTTGCTTTCTAAAGAATTGAAAACCTTTCCCTGCTGGTGTCCTATTTGATTAGGGAGACTCACTGAAAGTTGTTCAGACCCTTCAAGGTCAAGACAAACACAGCTCTCTTCCCTCCTCTTCCCACAACTTCCTTCCTGGGTAGTTTGTTTTGAAAACACTCACTTGTAACTTTGGGAAGGGTTTGCACTCGGTACTGTGTCTGCAGGGTCCACGTGTATGGATTCAGCCAACAGCTAAGGGAAAATACTCAGCATAAGATTTGCATTGGTACTGAATGTGTACGGACGTTTTTCCTGTCATTATTCCCTCAGCAGTGTAATTTAACAGCCATTTACATACCGTTTACACTCTGTTAGATATTATAAGCAATCTGGAGATGGTTCAAAGAACACGAGAGGATCCTGTTGGTGATTTGTGAATACTGCACTGCCATCAGGAAGCCAGGTCCTATTGCAGCAAGGAACCAGCCCCTCACCTCCTTGGTCCTCGGTTCTTGGTGGCCATGGGGAAGTCTTGGAATTTATTGTAAAGGAGATAAACTGGTAGCATTCAAGCAAGAAGGAAGTGAGAGTTTGGATGCCCTTTTCCTTGCACAAAAGTTACTCCTGGGGTTTAGGGAACTAGGATAACTGTGATGCTTATTAACATTTTCACTCAGAAGTTACTTTGGAATTGCAAAATGTCTTCCTGTCCTTTGTGGAAGATCGGCATTTCCTCAGGGACTTTAAATTAATCACATAGGGAATTTAGGAAAGAAATTTTAGTAAGTTCCTAACTGAAACCAGGTCCCGCCTGAAGCAGGAGGGTCTCTTTCCTGGTGTCATCGGGCTGGGGTCTGTGGCGGCCAGGAACGCTTGTGCCTTGCTCTGGGACTGGATGGCCAGGTGGTTGTAGGCAACTACGAAACTCTGCATCCTGAGAGTCTGTGACTTGGAAAGTGTCGGAATTACAGATGTGCACCACCGCGCCTGGTTCAGTTTTTATAGATTCTTTTCATCCAACTTGCTTTCAAGACCCATGAGACCGAGTACCTGGAGGGGGCAGGTTGGTCGTCTCCAGGGCCCAGAACAACACTGGCATGGACTGGATATAAAGGCTACACTTGGAGAAAGGCCGCTGGAGGTTGTATCTTCTCCAAACACTTTTTTTTTTTTGGTACAGGGGATCGAACTCGGGACCTTGCATTTTCAAGACAGGTGCAGGAACCACTGAACTAAATCCCTGGCCCACTTTTTTTTTTTGTACCAAGGATACAAACTCAGGACCTTGCGCTTTGGAGGCAGGCACAGTGCCACTGTGCCAAAATAGAGAATCTGATTTGGATATATCTGTTTGCTTATCAAATAATACTTTTGGTTTCTTGGTACCGGGGATCGAACTCAGGACCTTGCACTTGCCAGGCAGGCATGGCACCACTGAGCTACATGCCCAGCGCCTGCCACTTCTTAGGGATGTGACCCTGGGCCAGTCACTAAACCCCACTTTCCACTCACAGTTGTGAGGATTAAACAGTTCATTCAAGTGCCTGTCCCAGGCCTGGCATGAGCTAGGCCCCCAGCATGTGGTAGGTGACTGGATGAACTGTAGGGTTCAGGGCTCAGAGTTCGGGTAGCTGTGACCTTACTAAAACAGACTGTAATGTGCAGTAAATCATCACCTCATCCCCAAGCAGACTGTCATGTGATCGGGATTATTATTGTTGAATTTCTTTAATGACTAGATTTGAAATTTCTAAAAGTAATTTCATCTCAGATTCTGATTTTGGTTACTCTGCCATTGTTTGCTTCTCTTTCTCGGGAGGACAGTGTAAATCATCAAGTTTAAAAAATGGAGACAATGGGACTGGGGATTTAGCTCAGTGGTTCCGCCGCCTGCCTCAAAAGCACAAGGTCCCGAGTTCAATCCCTGGTAAAAAAAAAAAAAAAACAGAGACAAGTTGAGGGCTGTAGTTCAGTGACAGGTGGATGCTTAGCATGCTCGAACCCCTGAATTCAGTACCCACCACTAAAAAAATGAAGAAACATAGTTGCCTACAATGAATGAATGAGTGGATTCCCTTCTCAATTACCCTTTCATACTTCAGTTCAGTCTCCTTGAATATTTCATACCTTCGGTCTTTCAGCAGGTTTTCAGGGTGCTTAGTAGTTTGTTTACTTGTTTGTTTGTTTGTTTGTTGCAGTACTGGGGATTAAACCATCCAGGGCCTTCACACTGAACTGCATCCTCAGCCTTTTTTAATTTTTTATTTGGAGACAGGGTCTTGCTGAGGTACTAAATTGCCCGGGCTGGGCTCAAATTTGCAGTCTCTCTGCCTCAGACTCTGAGAGTGCTGGATTTACAGCTGTGCGACCCCACACCTGGCTGTTTTGTTTTTCTAAAAGGGCAGTGCTTTGATAAAGTGTGGGACACTGCTCTGTGTTTCAAACTGGAACCCTCTCCAGGGAAACCATTTCTTCCCAGAATACCTCTCAGTGGCCCCATTTTAGGAACATACCCTCTGTGTGTGTGTCTGTCTGTCTGTGTGTGTTACTGAGGATTAAACCCGTAGCCTACATACTGAGCTACTTCCCTGCATTTTTTCTTTTGAGACAGGGTCTCACTAAGTGGCTAAGATGCCCAGGCTGGGCTCAAATTTGTGGTCCTCCTGCCTCAGCTTCCCAGAGTGCTGTAATTACAAGACATGTGCTACCATTCCTGGCTAAAACATAGACCTATTAATCTCTTTAACACAACTGACATCCTACCCAGGAAAACACACATGCATTTTTCCCCAGAAGGTCTGTGAACCCCGTGGAGTCTACTCAACATACTTTTGAGGATGAGCGGTCTCCAGGTAGAGAACCCCAAAGTGTAGATGTCAATTACTCGTGAAAGCTCGGTGTGCCCCTCCAACCCCTCCATCTCCCGGCTACATGCACTTTTTTTTTTTTTTTTTGGTCACTGCAAATTGTTTATTAAAACACAAAGCAATGGACAGTGAAAAACATCCTGATGTTTTTACTTTTTGGTGGGAGTGGGGTGGGGCCTGGAAGGGGTAGGGACAGATGGAGACAGCCCAGAAAGAAGGACAGCTCTATCCACCCCCACTGCTTCCCTGGCCAGCCAGGTTCAAAGCCCCTCGAGTACATCTTGCTGTGCTGCTGCTGTAAATGCATCCGGCTACATGCACTTTAACAGGGCAACTCAGCACAACTGAAAGGACTCAAGTTACAGTGGTAGAATTTGAGTTTTAGGCTGTAGTGACAAATAAGCAATAAAGAAATTTGGAGCCAGGGATAAGTTATTACTTATTTTTTATTATGGAATGTGTTCACTTTTTTCAGAATTTTGCAACACATATGGCTCAGAACCCAAAACCTCCCTATAGAGGATTTAAGAGGCGGAACTCTGTTACAGTTGTTATCTAAAATACCACCCCCAAAGGTTCATTGAGTTGAAGACTTAGATGCTGAGGGGCTTGCAGAAAGTGATTGTATCCTGAGGACTTTGATTTTATCAGTGGATTAAGGTCAATTATGAGATCATAATTTGGAGGCATTATCAGGAGATGATAGACACAGGAAGTAAGGCCTAACTGAAGGGGTGGATCATGGGAGCCTGATCTCAGGGACTGTGTCTGGTTCCTGGCCACTTCTGCTCTGGATCTTTCTCTCTCCGCTTCCTGGCTGCTGTCAGATGAGCAGCTTTCTCTACCACACACTTTCACCATGATGTTTCTGCCTCGCTGCAGACCCCAAACAATGGAACCAGCCAACCATTGATTGAAACCTCTGTAACTATGAGCCAAAATAAACCTTTCCTCCTCTAAGTTGATTTTGTCAGGTATTTTGTCACAGTAACAAAAAGCTGGCTAATGCAAACCCTGACCAAACAAATTTGTAAGCCAGGATCATAAACATAAAAATGGCTAACAAACTTCTCTTTTGCAGGAAGAAAATTCATATTATATCAGTGAAGTAGGAGCCTATCTGACTGTCTCAAATCCAGGTTAGTAATGCAAGAATGGCTGTTGGACTGACAATGACACTATGTTTCTGGTTAGCTTACTTTACACTGCGTCTGAAAACTTTTGATGCTGCTTCTAAGAAACAAAATGAAAAAGTTGCCTACAATGAAACCTAGGCGGATTTATTTACTACCTGTGTGGACTTCAGGTAAGCCATCTGCTAGAGAACATTATCAGCAACAATAACAAGTGTTTTGACTCTTTAACAGATCTGCTGTTGACAATGCAAGTTATTCTGTACTCTTGAAATCATCCATTCCTTCTACAACAACATAATAGGTGCTGCCTTAGGCATTGGGGATCCAGCAGTTAGTTCCTGCCCTTGTGGAGCTTACATTCTAGAAGGGAAGAGGACACGCACAAACACCTTAACTTGCATTGCACTATTCAGTGGTGGTGAGCTCCCTGAGCAAACCAAGCAGGAGGGAGAGGCACAGAAAGTGACTTCCAGTCCGCCTCAGAGAAGACTTTAGGGGGCGGTCCAGGCACTCTGAAGAGGTGAGGTTTGAACAGAGGGGTCTCCATCTGGGGATGCTCTTGCCAGATGGCAAGAGCAACTGATGCCCACACCCAGCAGGGTGAGCTTGTTAAGGCACCTAGTGATCAGCAGGGTGCCAGAATGCCCAAGCATGAGCACACGCAGATGGGGAGGCTGAGGACATGGGAACGGTGGGCAAGGCAGCAAAGGACTCTGGATTTATTCTGAAGTGTGAAAGGAGGCGATGGGAAGGTCTGGTGTATGGAATGGTGGAGGAGATTTACATTTACAAAGGTTCACTTTGGATGCTGTATGGGGAATTACCCATTCTGGGGCAAGTTGAAAACATCCTACAATGTTCATTTCTGGAGAGATGATGCTCCCAAGAAAGTCCAGTGAGTCTCTGGGAGGCCTCAGATGTTTCTCCAAAAAGCTGAGTCTTAGATAACAGACATTTACAAACCCTCCTCTGCACCGGGGACTGGCCCAGTGGTTGTCATGTTTATTCTCTCCTTTGCAAAATTCTATCTTTTGATTGGCTTAAACATTCTTTTATTAATAAGTATTTTACCAGGCATTGTGGTACACACCTGCAATCCCAGCACTCAGGAGGCTGAGACAGGAGGATCACCCCAAGTTCAAGGCCACCCTGGGCTACACAGTGAGATCAAGGCCATAGTGAGACCCGGTCTAAAAAAACCAAAAATTAACTATCATACACTAAAGAACTTTGCCAAGAAATGAAAATGTGGAGTAATATCTACTTAAAATACTCACCATGTTATATTGATATTCAAGAGAATTTTGTCAATGATTTATTGAGAACTCATTTGCTGTCTTCGTGTGGTCTGGGGAATAAATACTGTGAGTGCTAACACAGCTTAGCTAACGTTATCACTGAGCAGGGACCAGATTTTAACCCATGACAGGGCAGTAGTCCCTCAAGAGCCAAAGGAAGGGAAAAATCAAACCAGAAATTAATTTAGACCCAGGGAGGGGGAAAAACTATTCTAGATCTCAGTCATCCTCTGGCCAATGAGTTTTCTCCCCATTCAAGAAACCAAATTATACTCAAAAGAGTGCTTGGCAAATGTGAAATTAGAGCAAATGAAGTTCATTATGTGATTAAAATATTGAACCCCATCTACCTTGAAGTATCACCTCCTTTAAAGGGTGTGTGCGTCATAAGGCAGAGTTGTCCTCAAAGTCTCTACACACGGGTTGTGTTTGCCGGAAGAGAAGGTAGTGGGACCCCCAGAAGGCCATGTTTGAAGGAAACCATTTGGTGGCCCATGGACAGCCCGTACCATTGGAACTCTGCAGAGAGTGTCAGGATTCTTGCATGTACCTCACTTTTTCTCTTCAGAGAAAGCTTTCCAAGGGTTGAAAACAGGGATGGTGATGTTTGAGACAGTGGTCGGCCATTCCTTCAAGTGTGTGAGCAAGCAGAGCACACAGCTGTCCGCCCAGCTTCAGCTGAAAACAATGAACGTCCAACTTCAAGCCTTTGACTTTGAAGGAGACCACTTTGGAAATGGTAAGTTACGGGTTCCCCAAATCGCAAACAGGTCTCGGGACCCAGGGTTGTTCCAAGTTGTGTTCTGTCTGAAGCTATCAAGGGCCAAGAATCTAGGAGCTTCCTGCAACAGGGTTTCCACTCTGCCCTGAGGGCTGAGGTCCCGGGGCCTTTTTTGCCACCTCAAAACCAGGCCCTAAGGGGGCCCCATTCACATCCGGGGCTCTCCCCAGTGCAGAGTCTGCCCAAAACACGTTCTCACTCATGAAAACACAGGCACACTCGGCCCAACAGCTGGGGAACGCCACATGTGGCTTTTCCTGTCCATGCTGTGGAGCCCTGGGGAACCCAGAGATGTTTGGAGAATCCTTTAAGGCCCTGAGTATTAGTGATACAAGATTTCAAGATAGCTTTTTCCCACCTGTGGAGGGAAAAGAAGACATGGTAATCCAGAAAAGAAAACAATTCTCTTGGATCCCCCTCTTCTCTGTTATAGCTGTTCCCCCCCAGAGTTTCCTCAGAGTCAGTTTTCATTTCTGTCTAACTTCCACTCTGGGTTTGAACCAGTGCCACCAGAGCTTGCCCGATGCTGCGCAGGAAGTCCTGGGGAGAGGGCCAGGGGCAGACCTGGGAGACTTCCCAGAAAAAGCTCTTTTCTCCTGCCAGGAAGGCAGTGTACAAGGACTTCTACCTATCAGCAGACTCATGAACTTCAATTCTCAAAATGTCCCTCTTGAAAGAACTCAAAAATACTGTAAGTGCTTTTCAGTCATCAAAAATAGATTTAGCTAGTTTAGCTATGTTAATTTCTGTAATAGAAACCCGGTTTTACGTTGGGTTCCATTATAAAATTAAAGATGTGTCTGATAGGACATTTCTCCTGACACAGTGGAAATCATTCAGCAAACAGTAGTCAGTGTTGCTTGCCTTGGAGCCCTGATATTTGTAAGTTTTGTCTGCGTCTTACAGTTTTTGAGACAGAATTTCACTAAGTCACCTAATTGCCCAGGCTGGGCTCAAACTTGCAATCCTGCTGCATCAGCTTCCCACAGTGTTGGGGTCATAGGGGTGCCCCCCCAACTTAAGCAAGTGATGAAATAAGGCACACACTTGCTCATCTTTGCCATTAGAACCTTTGTGAAGCAGGAATCAAGCAGGGCTTGGGAATAAATTCTTTTAGCAGCTTTCTGGTTCCTACTAGCACTGTTCTCAGGCAGACATGGAAAAGGTTTGTTTTTGTTTTGCGATAGTGGGGATTGAACCCAGGGCCTTCACACTGAACCACACCCCCTCTCTTTCTAATTTTACTTTTTGATTGTGAGACAGGGTCTCACTACTTTGCTCAGTTGTCCAGGCCAGTGCTCAAACTTGTGATCCTCCTGCCTCAGCCCCTCAGAGCACTGGAATCACAGGTGTGCGCCATCACACCTGACTGAAAAGCTCTTTTCTTAACGTTATTATCTGAAAAATCCCTGTTCATTGAAGCCTCCAAGCAAGTGAGCCTTCACTCCTCCCTCTCCTGCATCTTCTTACCAAATGCTCACACAACCCTACCAATTCTCCCAATGGTTCTCTTGTTCCCTGTCCCTGCCACAGCTCAGCTCCATATTCCTGGTCTCTGCAATTGAGATTTTCCTAAAGATGCAAGGAAAGATGCATTATGGTATTCCATAAGTAGGACTTTTCCTAGGGGGTAAGAGACAGTGACAAAGAAAAGCAAAAGCTGCCTGGGATTTAGCTCAGTGGTTCTGGCGCCTGCCTTGCCAGCACAAGGTCCTGAGTTCGATCGCTGGTACAAAAAAAAAAGAGAGAGAGAAAGCTGTCGTAACACAGTGTTAAAAAGGCTTATAAACAGAGCAGGCGTGGTGGCACACCACTGTAATCCCAGCACTCAGGAGGCTGAGGCAGGAGGACCACCACAAATTTGAGGCCGGCCTGGGCTACATAGTGAGTTCAAGGCCAGCCTGAACTACATAGGGAGACCCTGTCTCCAAAAAAACAGAAGAAAGAGAGAAAGACATACAAGCACAGGCTGTGGAGGAATGATGAATACACTGGTGGTGAGGGGTGGAGTGGAGAACTCTGGGCTGATGACCGACCTTGAAATGGGCTGGAAGAATGCAGCAGAAACCAGCAGTTACCAAAGCTCAGCCTTGGCAAAGAGAATAACCACCCCCAGCCAAACCCTCCTGCCTCTGCCTCTGCAGCACTTCCCCTAACACCCTGGAGCCCCAGAGCTTTTCTTTCACTGTCCTTTTCTTTTACTGGGTTTTGTTTTCTCTACCATCCAAGGAGCCCCAACCTGTCGGCAGCCCTTTAAAAAGCCCAGCATTTGAATAGAAAGCGTTGGTTCCACTGGGGAGGTGGTGAACACAGCTCCAGGGCTTCTCTGGCTCCAGGGTCAGGACAGGGACCCTGATCCCAGGTTTCTCAGCTGGATCTGCCTCCCTGGCAGAATCATTTCCTGGGCCTGGGGCCTGGGGCCTGGAGTCTGGGGCCTGGAGCTGAACCTCTGTGAGTCCTGACCAGCCTGAACTGAGTTCCCAGTCCCTCACCCTGCTGTCGGCTGAGACCCAGCAGCCCCCTCAGCCCCCTCTCCCGAGCGGTGCCCACCTGTAATGCTGTTACTCTGGCTTCAATTACAGCCACTGAGTGCTTCAGTGACAGAAACAGGAGAGAAACCCCTGTGGCCGTGGGCCTGAGTGTCACAGGACTGCTTGTCATTTTGCTAATGGCCTGCCTGGTGGCCAGAAAGAGACCTGGTCGAGGATATGAACACATGTAGAGCCCCATCTGCTTCCTAAGGCCCAGGGAAGCCTGGCTTCACATTGGCCCTTAGCCAAAGGACTGAGCTCTCTAGCTGCCTGTCCCCCCTCCGGAGTCCATGCGGAGCCCCAGCTCTCTGCTCCAGGCCCATCTGAAGGCTAGGAAGAGTGCAGCCCACCCCACTTCTGCCCTGGAGGGCTGGGGACACCATCGACCATGCCTGAGGGCAAAGGGCTGCTTCAGGAATTAGGGGGCAAGCCCATATGGTGACACACGCCTGTCATCCTAGCACTTGGGAGGCTGAGGCAGGAGGATCACCACAAATTCATGGCCAAGCTGAGCTATGTTGTGAGTTAAGGCCAGCCTGAACTACACAGCGAGGCCCTGTCTCCAAAAAACAAACAAACAAAAAGAATCAGGGAGCAGGGGACAGACAGATGAGGGGGGTGATTGTGTGAAGGAGAAGGCAAAAAACTCACAGAGGGAAAAAAGGGGAAAGACCCTTTCCAACTGCGCTGGGGTGAGATCTCACTATGTTCGCCAGGTGGGCCTCAAATGCCTGAGCTCAAGTGATCCTCCTGCTTCAGCCTCTTGAGTAGCTAGAACTATCATCGTGTATCAACACACCTAGCTTCCCATGTATTTCTAAGGTCTTGATCATCAGATTTTTTTAAACTAGTACTTTAGGAAAACAAATTCATTTCTAAATAGATTATAAAGTGTCTTTAGACTCCTGGATTTTCTCTAAATTCTGACTATTCAAATTATAGATGCTCTTAATATGCTATCGTTTTTTAAAGACATTCTATAGTATTGCGCTGTGCTATTAGTAAAACAAACATGGAAAGTTGTTCAATGTTTCACTTTTTTAACGGAAAGATCCTGGCAAACAGAAGAGGCTTAATAAATATTAGTTCTCCAATCCCTTCAGCTTCATTTGTTGTCTGCCTTCTTAACATGTTTTTTCTGATGAGTCCCTTTCTCTCAGATGCTAGTCTGCCCTTGTAAGTCTGACCTCCCCGTAGCTTCAGGACAAGTAAGTAACAAGGAGACCATGGCCCCTCCCTTCTTTGCAAACATTTACCCCCAAATTTGAAGCCAATGAATTCCTGATTGGGAGTGTTCACAAGTGCAGGAAAACATTCTATCAAAATCTGGCTTAGGATGTTGCTCATAGTTTTTGTTTGTTGGTTTGGTTTTTTTGTTTTGACAAGGTCTGTTTCTCAATTTTTTTTTTTTTGGTACCAGGGATCAAACTCGGGTCCTTGCACTTGCGAGGCAGGCGGTGGAACCACTGAGCTAAATCCCCAGCCCTGTTCATAGTTTTATAATACACTGATGGTTTAAATATGAAAACTGGGGCTTTAGTTTGGAGAAAAGGAAACACAACAGGCTAGCACAAGTTCTTAACTGATTTTTACTAACAAGGATTCTTGTTTCCTACATTTTCCAAAGGTGCCACTCATTATTTTAAACAGGAAGCATGTGAAGTTTGACAAGAACTGTGTACCGATTGCTTATCTAGGAAACGAGTCCTTGGAGTATTTTAGCCCTCTCGTTTTCTTAGAAGTGAAGGGTGGGGAGGGCGCTCGCGGGTTCAAGAGAGGTTTAAGATTTGCTAAAGAAGGCCTGCTTCCCCCTTAGAGCGGGAGAAGTTGGTGGGAATCTGCGAGACGAGGGCCCTGGGTCCCCCGGAGTGAGTCAGGGCTGACAGCAAGGGCTGGCTTTGGAGGGACGCTAGTCTTCCCCCCCACCTTCCCCGCCCTTCCCCCGCCCCCTGTTCTTACTGCGCCTGCCGCAGGCTCCCACCTGTGCTGTGGTCAGGGAACCTGAAAGGTTTCCAGGGCAGAGTGGGACGTATCTATTCACTGCGCTGCCAGCCCCCGGAGAATGACACAAGTTCATCTTCCAGTGTGTGGATGCTTCTAGGGCAGATGGAAATGAGAAGCCATATTTCACATCAAGAATAGAGGGATTTAGGGCCGAGGATTTAGTTTAGCGGCACCGTGCCTGCCTTGCAAGCGCAAGGTCCTGAGTTTGATCCCTGGTACCAAAAAAAATAGAGGGATAACCTGGGCATGGTGCACGCCTGTAATCACAGCACTCGGGAGGCTGAGGCAGGAGGATCACTGTGAGTTTGAGGCCAGCCTGCGCTACATAGTGAGTTCAAGCCCAGCCTGAACTACAAAGTGAGACCTGTCTCAAAAAACAACAAAAATAGAGGGATAAGGCAGTTCACATAAATTTAATTTTCC